CCTTCTCCTTCTTGCGCAGGTCGGCCGCCGAGGTGGAGCTCTTGGAGTTCTTGGCCGTCTTTCCGTTGATGTTCATCTCCTTGCGGTTCATAATCTCCGCCAGCTTGTTGACCGCCTGCTCTTTGAGCATCTTCTCCACGGAGAGTTGCTTCTGCAGCTGCTCAATCTCCCGCTTTGGGTCGTTGGCTCGCAGCGTCTCCAGCTCCTCGGCGGTGACTTTCAACTTCTCCGCCAAGTCGCGACTTTCCTTGGAGTTCAGCTCGAGGCTGCGTTTAAGCTCTAGCTCTCGGCTCTCCGCCGACTCCGATTGACTGCGAAGCTCCTTCAGATCTAGCTCGAGGACGGCTTTTTCCTTTTCGAGCATGGCCAGGCGCTCCTCGACGACGCTCTTCGCCACAGCCTCGGCCTTGTTCAACTCGGCGAAGCGCTCCAGCTGGTTGCTCAGCGATTGTCGCTCGTCCTGAAGCTTGGAGTTCTCATCTAGTTTCTCCTTGAACTCGTCCATCATCTCGTCGAGTTGTGTCTTGTAGAGGCTGTTGAAGCACCGCTCTGTGTCCAGCTGCACCTTGAGTTCATTCAGATCACTGCAAAAAGAAAACATGAGAACATTAAAAAATAGTTTAAAAAATTTTACTAATCTGTTGATCTTACCTATTCAGGCGCTGGTACTTTTCAGTTGTGTCATCAAGCAGCGCCTTGATGGCGGCCACCTCAGCACGGGCGTCCGCTTCGGCCATGTTCAGTTTCTGAGCCGTCTGCTCTCGGGTCATCTCTAGCAGTTCAATCTGCTGCTCTTTCTCCTTGATCACCAGCTCTAGTTGCTCCTTTTCAGTGCGAGATCGCTCCAGGAGTACGCTCAAAGCTAAAAAATGGTAAAAATCCAACAGATTAAGTTTTTGAGCTCAGAAATATAGCAGAAAAAATGAGCAAAAAAGAGAAAAAAAGAAAGAAAGAACGACAGTGAAAAGAAAGAAAAAAAAGAAAGAGAAGAAGAAGAAAAAGAAGAAGAAAAAAACGAGCAAGTTAAAAGTTAAAAGTTAAGAAAAACTTTTAAGTTAAAGAAAAAATGTTAAACAGAAAAGACAGGCACAGAAAACAGATAGAAACAATGAAGAGAAAATGAAACAGAAACAAATGAAAACAAGAGGAAAAATAGTGGAATAGTGGAAAAATGTTGCAAGCACAAGAAAACAGAAAACAGAGATAGAATATAGAACAAAACAGAACAGAAAACAGAAGAACATTCAAGTGGACACACAGGAGATGGCCCAGAACATGACAACAACAAATCCAAGACACTTACAGTGGACATCATCTAGTGAGCTACCGGTGGTGGAGTGCATGCTATCGGAGGGAGTCATGCCAATGGCGCCCAGCTGGTTGCCGGTGCTGCTGTTGTTGTTGTTGTTGTTGTTGAAGTTGTCGTGTTGGTCAATGTGGTGCTCGTTCTGGAGAAAAGAAGGGAACCCAAAATGATTACGCTGTCAAGCTCAGCTTGCAAAACTTGAGCACTTACCCTTGGACGAGTCTGCGGCGGCATCATCTGCTGCTGCTGTTGCTGCTGCTGCTTCATCTTGTAATCTTTTAGCTCGCCACGCAGACAGAGGATGGTCGCATCGAGCTCCTTGACCTTGGCCATGCTGGCGCCCAGCTGGTCCTTGAGCTGGTCCAGCTCGCGCTCCTTGACCCGCTCCAGCTCCACCTTGGCCCTTAGCTCGGCCATGGCCGACTCGCTGGCGGCGAGCAGGTGCTTCAGCTCGGAGCTGGCATTAGCCTCCCTCGTCACCGCCTCACTCTCCGCCTTCAGCTTCTCCGAGAGGAGGGCAATCTGCTTTTCCAGGCTGCTGTACTTCTCGCCGGCCAGCGTCAGCTGATTGGCCAGGCGTGACCGGTCGCTCTCGAACTTGGCCTTCAGCTCGGCGATGGTCGCCTCGGCGGTGCCGTGCGCCTTCACCTCCTGTTCGTGCTTGTTTCTGAGGGCCTTGAAGTCGAGCTCCAGCACGGCGACCGCCTTCTCCACCTCGAGCTTCTCGTTGCGCAGCGAGGCCATCTCCTCGGCCTGCTTCTCCAGCTGGTTCAGGGCGAGGCGGTACTTGCTCTCCAGTTCCTCGTAGGTCTCCACGACGCGCCGCTTCTCCTCTTCCAGTTTGCCCATCTTTCGGCTAAGTTCGGACTAGAAGGGAAAGAGAGAAAGAGATTAGAAAGCAAAGTCAGCAAAACAGGGTTTTGTTTAGAGCAAGCAAAGAGAAAGCTACTCGGTCTACTTACACTGGCGTCGTCGTCCATTTGCACTGAGTTGCGCTTGCGAGAGTTGCGCCGTGAGCCACTGCCGCCGTTTGCGCTTGCGTCGCCGCGCGAGCCGCCGCTCAGTTGTTGCTGTTGTTGCTGTCCAGCTGCAGCAGAGAGGCTGCCCGACAGCAGCTGGTAGTCGTCCGAGTAGGTGAAACCGACAAATGGAATGTTATTTCCGGCAAAGGTCTTCGGCTCGGGAAAGCTGCTGTCGGCGAGGTGGCCACCCGGCTGGCGGCTGCCGTTGCTTTCCGGCTCGGGCACGTCGTCGAAGTTGCTCGTGTCGTCGTCGCCGGAGAGCTCCGGGAGGACCGGNCTGCGGTCGGTGAGGAAGGAGCAGATGAGGTGGCGTGCCTCGCCGCTGATCTCAATGTCATCGGGGAAGGAGAGGCTCTTCTGGTGCTCCATGATTTTCCCGTAGGTGCCCACCAGTGACTCGGCGTAGAAGGGCGTATCGCCGATGAGCATCTCGTAGAGGAAGACGCCCACGGACCAGAAGTCACTAATCACAGAAAAGGGTAAAAGGGTAGTATCAGTCAGTGGTGGTCAACATTAGCATCATCTCCCCCGAAAGCACTTACCACTCCCGTCCGTAGCAGCCTTTGGAGCCCTGCGACTTGAGCACCTCCGGTGAGATGTAGTCCGGCGTGCCGACGGCCGTTTCCGAGTGGACCAGCCCCTGGTCGTCCATGCGCATGCAGGTGCCAAAGTCGGTCAGCTTGACGTGGCCCCGGTGGTCGAGCAGCATGTTGTCCGGCTTGATGTCCCGGTGGACGAAGCCCATGCTGTGAATGGCGTCCAGGGCGAGGATCACCTCGGCGGTGTAGAACTTGGCCCACTTCTCGGGCACGTCGTACTTTGCCATCAGGTTCACCAGGTCGCCGCCGGGCATGAAGTCCATGACCAGGTAGAGAAACTGGCTATTCTGGAATGCGTAGTGCAGCTAGAAGGCAAAGACCGTGTGTTAAAGTGCTGCTTTGTAAGCACACTGACCACGACTTACCTTGACGATCCATTCAGACTTTGCAAAGGCGCTAATAAAGCGCTCCTCCCAGAAGAAGGCAGAGTCGGAGCGCTTGATCTGTGGACAATGAAAAAGGGAAAACGTTAGTCAAAGTTGTGCTTGCAAAAGCAGTACCAGCAAACGTTACCATTTCGGTCTTTGAGAGTAGCTTCATCGCGTACACCTTTTTAGTGTGTTTTTGTCGCACCAGCTGCACCTCGCCAAAGGCGCCGCGTCCGATGGTTTTCAGAACGAGAAAGTCGTCCGGTTTTGGCCGACAGCTGACAATCAGTTGGTTCGTTTTTTCATCTGTAAGCAAGGAGAGTAGCGTTTAGAAAGGTCAAAAAGCACGCAAAAAGAAAGTAGAAAAAGAAACTTACATCTTTGAAGAAATGAATCAATGTTTTTGACCCGACGAAGGGTCGGGTGATCACAATCAGTAAAGAGGGCCTGGACGCAGTCCTGGAGAAAAAGAAATCAACATTAGTAAGAAAAGCACCAAAATAGAACTTTATCCAAACCAGCAGCTACTACTTACCAGGAGAGAGTCAACGCTGATCTCTGACTTTGGGTCGAGGATGTGCTCCTCGAGGCGACCCAACCGCTGCCGGCGGTTGTCATCTTCGATTGGCGGGTTTTGCTCCGCCATGGTGAAAAGAAAGAGAATGAGAGAAAGAGAAAGAGAAAGAGGCTGCGCCAATGAAAAGGCGTTGAAAGAGCAGATGTCCTTTAAATCACTTGAACAGCAGGTATCTGAAGAAGAAGGAGAAGAAGAAGAAAATGGGGAAATCAGTTGTTGTTGCTGATAATGATGATGATGATGAAAAAAGCGGTAAAAAGGGGTGAAAAAGTGCCGCTGACAAACGGCTGCTGCTGCTGAGGCGGCAAAATTGGTGCTAAGAAAAGAGAGGAAAAGAGCGTGCGATGTGATCAGCGCGGCTCCCAGCAGACAACTGACAGACAGTCAGCGCGCTGGTCGATATCTCTCCAGAGGAAAAGTGTGTGTGGGGGAAGCTCGACTCATCGGCGGTGGTGGTGGTAATGGTGTGATTGAATGAATCAATGAATGTGAGCGCCACCGCCACCGAATTTGCCGCCGCTGCTACTGCTTTGCTACTGCTGCCGACGCCGCCGCCACCGCTCACCGCTGCTGCCGCTGACTTGCTCTACTGACTCACTGAACTGAACTGAACTGAGCTGAACTCTACTGAAGATGACTGGCTGGCTGTACGACTGGCTGGCTGATAAGAAGAAGAAAATGAAGAAGACAAACAGACAGACCGATTCACAGGCGCACACACAGACACACTCAGACACCGTCAGAGTCAAGATTTGTGAGTAGTCAGTGGAGAGGTAAGGGGAAAGAGAAGAACAGAGATGAGTGTAGACGAGGGAAAACAGTGGCGACAGTGATGCTGCCAGTCTTTCAGTGTCAACTGGCACCGACCCAGTGCAGAAGTCATACAGAAGTGCAGGAACAGAAAATGAGAGAGAAATGACAGAAAACAGGAGGAAGACAAGGCAACTGCGGCAGCTATTGTGCTGATGCTCCTGTTGAATTGGCAGTAAACTGCTAGCGACTAATGTGGATGCTTTTTGCTTCAGCAGTGATAAAAAAGTAGAGGTACAATGAGAAAAAGAATTAAAAACCAAAGCAAATGGTAGTTCTATAGACAATTTCCTAGATTGCCCAAGCTGAATGATCAAAAGTTGCAGGTATTTGTTTTTTAAGCAATATCGATTTTGCTATACTACTAGTACGTTAAAAGTTTGTCAAATGATTTGCATGAAAACAAAGGCAAGTTGTTCAATCATTTTGTGTGCATTATATTTTGAAGCATTTCCTATTTTCATAAGTTACTATCGGCACACGCGTCTAAACACGTGTTTACACTGTTTCTTTTAGGTGTGTTTACACATGGCAGACGCAAACACAAGTTAATCAGTTGTCTGCTGTTGCAAATACACAGTGCACTCATTATGTAATTAAGCTATGATGCACTAAGACAAATAGCTATTATTATCAGTAAATTGGCTAACTAAATAACAATTAATGACAAAACAGGTTTTAGTCAAAACAATTAATAATAGACTACTCGGGATTAGAATCGCAGACATAAAGTGTGTGAAAGGCAAAAACAACAGCAGCTGTCCGAGAACAGCAGTAAATTACCAATATAGTTTACTGCTCTTTTTCTGCTTCACTTTATCATCAACTGATCATAGTTCTGATGCTGCTACTGTTCTTTTGTTTTATTTTATGATCACTGCTGCCAAGTGCTGTTCCAGTCAGTCTCTGCCGACCATTTTCTACTACTGCCGTGTTTTAGCACCGGCCAATCTGTAAGTCTGCAATGGGTCCATAAATCAATTTTGGTGTCTTTTCTTATTATAGGCAAACTGCTCCACAACAACAACTACTACTACTACTGCCACTGTTCAGTTGAGTGGATGCAGGGGTGTTCTACACTTCAGGTTTGCTTTCCCTGGTTGCCATCTTGACTCCAGGTAACTTACTGCTACTGCAGCTATTTCTGCACCACTTGATTGAGATGCAGAACCGAACTAATTGCTTTGCTTTACGACGTACTGGGGCAACCGCTGAGGCAACTGAGGCTACTACTGCAAAAGAACGAACGATCCAGCGTTCAGGTGCTTTTATTGCCGATGTCGTAGGTATTGTAAATTATGAGATGCAAACGATTGAAGGGAATGAGCAGTAGTAGTGGAATGAATGGAGAAAAAGTGTCTGCCACAAACAGAAAGGGGAAAGTCACAGATAGGCAGTGAACTGAAAAAATGACCAGCACCAAATGAGAACTACAGGGAGCAGTGCTAACTGCTGACCGTTCATGTGCTGCTGTCTGCTGCTGCTGCTGCTGATGCAATTAGTTAATTACCCTGATGCTGGGACTACAACTGCCACTGGAGAAGACTATTACCTTGTTCAGCTACTACTAGTGACCATTATTGCTGTCTACTGTTGTCCACATTTGAATCACGGTGAACAACTGTGTCTGTGTGTGTGCTCATCAGTCCGTAGTCGCTGCTGCTGATGTTGCTGCAGTCAACTGAAGTAATATGACCAGACAGTAAAACCTAGGCAGACACAGCAACAACAACGGTAGCAAAAATAAAAACAACAGCAGCAGCATTTCCGAGCTCAATGACCCATTGCAGGAGCCAAGAAGTGAACGTCGCAAAGAAAGAGAGCCGCCAGAAAAGCCAACAAAAAACATAACAGTGGACATTCATTTTACTAAACGACGGCAAAATTGCCCATCACCAAAAGTGCAAAGGTGATGAAGAGGAGTAAAAGGGGAAGAAGAAAAAGGAGAAGAGCAAAACAACTGGAAAGGGCAAAAAATGCTGTGTTTAACCGAGTACAGAAACAAGAGTTAAAGTTAAAGCTGATATCAGGAATAAAAGTTAGTACATGAGTGCGTCAAAACAATTGCAATTGCAAAAGCAAGAGATGTGCTAAATGGTGTTCAAATTGGCACTTGCTGGCTTGCTTTATTAGCTAGCCGACTGGCACGACAGCTTAGGCTGACGGCGTCAACAATGAAGACAAAAACAACAAAACGACATTTGAAAAGACACCAGTTGATGCACTACACTTGTAGAAGAGAGGTTTTTGTTTGTAAATTGAAAAATAAGTGCGCCTTATGTTTAGTCGGCTGCTATGTCTGTCTTACTGTCTGTCTGTCTGTCTGTCTGTTCC